GAAACGTACAACATCGAGTTCATAAAGATCGAATTTTATAAAAATAAAGTTAAAATATTCAAGCTTGATATTTAAATTAACAATAAAACAAAATCTGTTTTTTTTTTCATGTTACACATTGCTATTATACAGAAAATTACACTACACTTATATTGCTCTTGATTTAAATTAACAGTTTTCTAATATAATTTAAACATTTTTATATTTTCGAAATTTCAAATTTTTATCTAGTTTTTATCTATTAGTTTTACAAATATTTCCAAATAAGAATAAAATCATTTATATACAAATGATTGTGTCTAGTATCATTATAAATTAATTACAATTTCATACGACATAAACATCATGTGTTATTTATATTTGAATATGAAGAAAATGAATGGTAATAATTTTTCTAAATATGATGTAAATAAATCTTAATAATTTAAATTTCTTCATATAATTATATACATTCTTCATATAATTTTTCATATTCTTATCTTTTAATTATTAAAATAATGTAATAGACAATGTAATAATAAAAGTAAAGAAGATTTGTGAATTTCTAATTGCACTTTTAAATATTTAAAATTTCATTCATATTCATTTAAAATATAAAAAAACATAAAAATTTATACGAAATTGAAAATTATGATTTATTTATTAAATTAGAAGCAATTTAAATTTACATTAAGTGAAGCGAGATAGATATAGAAAAAGATAGTTTTATACTTTATACTTCATCATACTATCATTTCACTCTACCTCTGTTTCGTTTTGTCTAATTTAATAAATAAGCTTCAACCAACATTTTTACATGTTAACTTTTGTATGCGTTTCAAAATATTCCATGAATATATTATAATGCTCTCTACAGTCACATCATATCACCATATCGAATACTTCAACAATTGTTTTTTAATATCATTAAATTTTTTAAGGTATAGCAATATTCGAAGATTATGTTACTGAAAAAGAATAATATATTATGTCTTTTTATTATGATAACTTTTAAAAATCTTAATTGACAAAAATTTCCAATTCAATTAAATCCAATCAAATGAATTTTAATAAGATTTAAACTTCGACCAACTTTTGAAAAACAAGAGAGAGAACGAGAGAAAAGAAAAACTAGAAAATAAAGTATTCAAATGCTGGCATCCATTAAGATGCAAGGCTTTTTCGGCCTAGACAGAAGAGGATTGGCACGAAATGGTATAATTTCAATGCAAACAAGTGTCGAGAGAAATAACCAAATTCCCTTTAATTACTGACAATAATAGTACAAAACAAGAAACTTCATTTAAAAAACAAAAAAAGATTTTCAGACTTTCAAACCGAAGTTATATGCATTAATGCATATATTACGATTAAAATTACAAAAATAAATAAACCTAAGATTGCCATGGATCTACTCTTATTACGGAACAAAATTCTACAGAATATTTTTATTTTATTTATTTATTATTATTAAAGGACACTATTTTGTCGCCACTTTTTTTGTCGAATATTTCTTGTTAATTATGATTTGACTCAATTAAAGAATTCGTATGAAAAATAATTGTTATTAATTTTTTTTAATAATAAAAATTATTTATAAAAATCTATAATTTTCTATATAAAATTAAATATTCATTAATAAAATTTATTATTATGAATATATTATTATACATATTGAACAAATTAACTCTGAAAAATTTGCAACATTTACAACATATTATATTCCACAAATAATGCAACATTTGAAGAAATGAAAAATAAAAAAAAAATAAATGAAGTGTTTCATTTGAGACATGTTACGCGACACAGATCAGAGCGTAGGTCACGATGTGAATTATGAATAGTTAAGATTTTAAAGAAGATTGAACGTTGACCCAATACATAGCCAGATAAAGTAAAATGAATATTATAATAATAAAATTAACAAAAATATGGAGATTGTTAATTACAAATTTTAATTAGGATTATATACGAAGAAATATTTAATTAAATTAGTTTATTTAATCCTATATATTAAAACAAAAATTCACTTATATATGACAATTTTGGTTTCTCGATTTCTCTAATTTGAATTTCTTTTCAGATTTTTAGAAAATCCATTTAATCCAATTAATTCATTTAACTTAATTTTGTAAATATAGATACAAAAGAAATGAATGGACTCAAAATATTCCAAATAGTAATCATAATTTATAAGTCTTTCAATTACATAAAATAAAATATTGTCAATCATAATTACATTCCATTCAATTTCCATTTATTTAATTCTTTTATTATCGTACACGTTGTATAATATTGTAACCACATATTGCGCTTCGATTTTCCTTAAGATAAATGCATAATATCCTATCTATTTTCATTAGAAGGAGATTTATACAGATCTCAAAAATATTGGAACATCCGTAAACCGGAAATTCGTGAAATGATTTCAAGCAACATTTTCTTTCATAAAAATTTTCATTACGACTTTGTTAATAAGTTATTAATAAAAAATACTGGCCAAACATTGGAGAACATCGAATATAATAAATATTTTTTATCGATAAAAAATTACATCGAATTATATTACAAACAATGAATAAATAAATAAATATAATATTCAACACACTTTCTTTAAGATATTGAGTTGCTTGGACTTGTTTATGTTCGATCGGCGACTCGATTAAGCTACGGGTTTCGTGATTGGGCAACATTTTTTCTTACTAATTCGTTAACAAAACCATAACGAATGCTTTTGCAAAGAAAAATCTTGCTTGAAATTATTTTAGAAATCTCTTTTGGAACATCTCCTGTATATATTATAAACAATTATTAATCTGATATTGCGATATATTATTTTTCGTTATTTTAAATTTTTCTTCTTGATTGACGAAAATTGTACATATTTATCATTAAATAATAAATTTCAAGTTGTGAACAGCAATGTTTTTCTTAAATGACAACAAAGAAAAGATTAATATACGAAATCCTAAAACAGAATATACGCAATATATTCTAACATACGATTATATCAACAGACACCACGTTCTAATTATATTGTATATTGTATAATATATTGTATAATATATTGTATAATAACGACAAAATTTGTCGTCCATTCAACACAATATTAATTTCTTCACTTACGACAATATCTCCGAACTATCATCAGTTTCTAACGCGAAATTGAGATACGTGATGTAATAAAGTCATCACAAATTTTATTGTAATTTAAAAATTCTGAATATTTTTAAAATTTTATTTTTGATTAATTCGTATGAAATTTTAAATGAAGAACATTCTAATGATCTCGAATCCAAATATAAATATATAATATATACAATTGTATTTTTTGTATTTTCTTGTATTGTATTCTTTATGTATATTTGTCGATTGCATTGTTTGAAATTGAAATTAATTTGTTTTTCGTCACATACGATATATATATAAGAAAAATGTATAATTTCGAACTGTTAATGTAAAGAAATTCATATATGGACTATTGTCATATAACCAACGATCAACATTAGTTGCACTTGTCATTTTACAACATGTAATTAAGCGTGATCTTTGAGAGTTTAGTTTACAACCTTGGTTTATGGCTGGACCAGTGCTTTGTCCTACATCAAAAACCAATAAAGTAAGAATGTAATAGCATAGATATCTAACGTCACAAGCTACTGAAGAAAAATATAGATGGACTGGTATTTTATCTTACATCAGAAACTACCATAAAATAAATCCTCGTAATACGATATCTGATGATACATCTCGATAATAAAAGTACATCGAGATATTCTCGGTTGGCTATTTATTGATGTACAAAAATCAAAAATACAAGGTTATATGAATTTTTTTCTGAGATTGGAATGTTTTTTATCTGCCATAGTTTTCCATCATGTAGCACATGACTGCTCATTTGATGACGTATAGCATTTGATGATGCATCGATTTATTAAATTAGTTTAATCAATCAAAAAATATAAATAGAGTTGACAATAACATTTATTAAAATCTAATCTATATTCGAGTTATCTACATTCGGGTTCGAGGTTAAAAATTATTTGAAATGCTTTTCTAGAACAAAGGTTTCAAGGCATAAAGGTTGAAATTAACAATGCTTCTTTTTATATTTCTAACAATTATATAATTCATGGATTAAGCGCGGTTTGCATTTTATAAGTAATCTCGTCGTGGATATATTATTTTCTCGCGGTTAATTTTCAGTTTGACAATTTCCGTGCGACAACCTTTGCAGAAATTTTATTAACTTTTGCGAGAATTCAAAATATTTATTACTAAAATTGAGTTCAATTATTTACTAAATATGTAAATTGAAAGTAATAAAATAGGAAATATTACTGTATTGAGAATATTGATTTATGCCAATATTGTTATTATTAGCATTTTAAAGCAATTGGGAACTAGTTACGAATTCTTATATGAGATAAAAATGTTGGAATTTTTAAATCGATTATAGCTTCGAAACAAAGGATCATATTTCGTGTTGAGGAGAAACGTTGTAAGAAAATAAAATAGAATAATAAAATAGAAATTTCCGAAATTTTCTCGAATGCCGGAAATTTTCAAAAATCAGGAAAACACGAATCAATTTGATTTTTTTCTAATTCTGAACTCCTATCATTCTAAACCAAAGAAATAGCTTTCCAACAAGTTGTTCGAAATTATAAACTCATCTTTGGTTAAACGGTATTAGATAGAATTTATAAAACAATTTATTAATAAAGTTTATTAATGATTATAATAAATTTGAAACATGTAGATATTATTTCAACTTAGATATTATTTAAACTTCGTACTTTATTTATCGTGGGTTAATTCATCCGATGGTTTACCGTTCTATCAAATATTTATAACACATAAGAATTAAAAAGCTACTATATCAAAACACTGTACGAAAATGCAACGCGAGATACGAAGCAATAATAAAAAATTGTCATGGATTAAAAAATTTAAATCTATCTAATTTGATAGATTTAATTTAGTAGCATAAATATATGTATCAATTTTCTCTGTTCCAGGCATAGAATGCAGCGATACGAAGCGCGGTGCTCGTCCGCGACGAGGCGATGAGAAGGCTGAATGGAGGCCGAGGAAGCCTCAGAGCCCCCTGGGGCTCCGACGAATCTTCCCTCAGAGAAGCGCAACAAGATGAACCGTAGTCGCACACCGCATTCATTCTAAATCATCAACTAATCCTTTGCAACTTGTACAAAATTGCAATTAAAATATAAACAATTAATATTGTCAACCAACGAAATCAATCAAAACTCTCGATCCATCTTGGAGAACGATTTTGAGAAGAAAATACGCGCTTTTACATATCTGAACAGGGCGATCGATCATTAGTTTAGAAAAATTCAAACAACAGAGCTGTTCACGAACACGGCCTCTGATATATTTCCTATCCAGACGCACAAATCACTTCGAACCAGGGAATATGTGTTTGATATGAACGTAAATCTGAAAGAAAAATCTATTAGCCAAGAGTTCTGAGCAACGAAGTGTAATTAGGATCGTTTGGTTTAACTCTTATTAAATAAGAAAGAAACAAAAATCATTTGGAAAGATGGCTGCACCGGTGATAGAGAAGAAACGATTCTTCTGCCGCGAATGGGCGTTCACCAAATTGTCCCATTGCTTGGAGCAAAGGCCAGCCTCGAAAACTTGCGGTGTTCTGGTCGTCGGTGGTCCAGGAAGCGGAAAAACTGCGTTCAGTGCGGAATTAGCTTGGCCGTCGGCCGGTGCCAATGCCAGACATCAGAGATCTTTGAACAGGAGATTATTGGCCAGGCACTTTTGCCAAGCTAGGAGCGAGGCATCCTTGTCACCAGCACAATTCGTCAGATCTCTGGTTGCTCAGCTTCTGCAACCCGGTTCGGATGGAATTCACAGGTAATTTGAGGGTTTAATCTCTTTAGACCAGTTTTCCCTTAAATCAATGACAATTTGTTTTGCGAAAATGGGTGAAAGTAAAACTATGAACAACAATAAATTACCTTCTCTAGCAGTAAAAGTAACTCGATTTTCTTTCCACGTGTGAAGAATATTTGATATTATCTACTGTCAGAGTGATCAGTGATGTGATGTTTAACTTTAACAGAAATCTAAGCAATAATCATATGATAATGTGATGTCATATATTTTCCTTCTGGAAAATTTGCCGCAATTAAATTACCTTAGTTTCCGTTCGACAATCCCGATGGTGAAATTAATAAAATTAAGTGGTATGAGACTTTAGAGCAGTACTGCCACTTTGAAAGCAATTCTGAAAACAACTTATGGAGAGGTTGAAACTTCAGCTTCCACTGAACTTTCTGCATTATTTGTTGCGCATGACTCTCCATGGCTATTGTTCTATCTGGACGATGCAAACAATATTGAACAGCATTGTTTTTCAAACGTAGTTTTTGCCTCTTGGCTCGAGTTTCGCATTCCTCATATGTTGAATTTTGTTTTATTATTAGGTTTTGCTAACCTTACTTCATTTTCAATCGCTTGTATTATTCTAAACATTGTCTACATTAGATTATTCACAATTTTGTTCGTATAAAGAACAGTACTGTTTCTGTACTCTTTCTATTTTATTACAGGTATTTATATTATATATCCTGTATGTAATATTGCTCATAACTGCTGAATATCATTACATTGGATTCTTTAATAGCTAAGTTCACTAATATAATCGTAAAAATCAAATAATGATATTATTCGTACATATATTTCACACACACACACACAAATGTTCGTTAGGGTGTCTTCGAGCTCTCCAATACCAGGAAGCACAACTACCACCAATGCCACAACGGTACCATTAACATCGAGGGAAATGGTGGCAGAAGCATACGCGGAAAAGCTTAGAACCGACCCAGAAATACAGGCCGCCCTGCAACCAGATGTTCTTGACAGAGACCCCGACGACGCTTTAAAGAAGGCACTACTGTTTCCTCTGCTCGAGTTGGAACCACCAAAAAATTGTCTGTTTCTGTTAGTCGATTCCATCGACGAGGGGCAAACTTTGGATCTCCCACAGACCGGTACCAGAGACTCAAGAAGGGAAAATGATAACGTCAGTAGAACGATTGCCGAATTGTTGGCTAATCATCATCACCTGTTCCCTCAATGGTTGCTGTTGGTTTGTACCGCTCGGCGTCAGAGCAAACCGATCTCGAGGATGTTCAGCGGCTTCCGGAAAATCCCTTTGGATGATTTAAGGAAATCGTTAGTGGTCAGAGACATTCAACAGTATATTCTCGCTCGGTTGGATCAAGAAGATGCGCTCAGGTGTGTACCTTTTAATATTAGATACGTTAAACTTTTCTTTCTTTATATGAAAATATTGACTTTTTTTCTAATTGAATGAATTTAATGAATTTAACCTTTCATCGTTTATATAGGATGGGGGAAGCATTTAAAATAATATTACTCGCTTAGTTTTGTTAATAAGAATGCACAATGTGATAATTGATTATTTTGTAGATGTAGAGAAGATATTATAAGATTATTTTTTTTAAAATAAAGTCACATATTTTTTATTTATATTATAACAGAGCCTTTACCTAATCTAATAAAAACTTATTGTCTGGCAGTAATTCATTTTCAATTATCAAGTAAACTATTGAATTTGTATTAAAACGTCTGCTTCAGATCATACTTTATAATTGATATTACAGAAAAAGAAGATACACTTTAAAAAATGTGTGGCTTCACTGATTTTAATTTTTATATAATCTAGCAGTGGAGACATTAAAGACATTATAATATTGAAATATGTTGTTAAAGATATCATTCTATTTCTCTTTATACATATATTTAATTTTCAAATAATTTTAAAATTTCAGAAATTTTATATTAATATACTCGTAAAATACTGTTGAAAAATTTGTTCTAGAGACTAAAATAAACATTAAACTTGATATACATAAATTTTTTATTAACTTATAAGCAATTTAATTTTGCGTTATATGAAGTGAAGCAAAGATGAAATAAGATGGTTCTATTTTCGTCGTATCATTCTTCACGTGAAAATTAGCGTGAAAAATATTTTTGTATTATTCGAGAAATAAAGAAAAAAAATATTCAAAACAATCCTTTACACGTTCATCGCCCAGCATGATTTCGTTGAATTCCTCACGGGGCCCAAATGTTACTGTCGAAAGAACGTAAACAGAGCGATAAACGGAAATAGTTTTAATATTTTTATTTTATATATTTTAATATAACATTTAGTTGAAATATATTTATATATATTAGTTCTTAGTCTTCATTAACTAAACTTTCTGTAATATTTGAATTAGTTGTTTTCAATGCCTCTATTTCTACTTTTTCGCTCCCTACTTCGTTCGTTTCCAAAGTCAATTTTAACTATTTCGACGAATATAAGCCTCTAATTGACAACTTCAACTCAGTTCTATATTATCGGTGGTAATATATATAATTTTAGATTTAAAATTGTATAAAAATGCAGAATGATTCGCTAACAAATCATACTTGTCCCTCTTTTCAGTTTCTATTATTCTTAAATTTTAAATTCTGTGATTCCAAAGTATATTTTATATTTATATTTCACTGCTTATTCCATTAAATTTCTTTTAAAATTCCGCTTCAACTCTTTGCATTCATATATCGCCATATAATCGTTATCCTATATTTTATTATTATACATATATTTACATTAATAAATAATATGTATAATTATATATAATATAATATAACATTCTAGAGGGCTCTTCTTACTTGATTGATAACTTTCTTAAATATAAATACAAATGTAAATGGTTAAAATCTTATTTTTTGAAAGAAGAAGAAAGCGTCACCCATATAAAGATGGCGATGAACGTGTTAACAACGTATTTCAATATCATTGAAATCTGTTATTCTTTTCGAGCAAAAAGAATAACAGACATATACTTTTCTTTGTAAAACGATCAATAATAGATAAAGCGATAAAAACGATTGAATTTTCATTCACCCAGGCAGCACATCTCGCGCGACACAGCCGAGATGCTAAACCAGCTGCACATCAAGAGCAACGGCTGTTTCCTGTACCTGGAGAAAGTTCTGGACGGCGTGGCCGAGAACTTTATCGTGCTACGCGAGGTTCGCGAGATACCAGGAACCCTGAACGGTCTCTACCTATGGCTGTGTCAAAGACTCTTCAGTAGAAAGCAATTTGCCAAAGTTCAACCTTTGCTAAACGTGATACTGGCCGCGAAACTACCAATCACGCAGGAGATACTCTACAAATGCGTAAAAACGGCATGCACGAGTATCACCATAGAAGACTTCAACAGGCGTTTGCACCTTTTGCGCAGAGTCATCTCTGTCTCCCGTGCAGGAGCGTTGATGTTATTCCATCATAGTTTCGCAGAATGGTTGCTGGACGTGAAACATTGCACGCAGAAATATTTATGTTCCGCTATTGAGGGTCACGCAATGTTGGCCGCTTATTATACCCTTCGTGGGCCGGAATTAAACGCCGACGAGATCTGCGTGTTAGGACAACATCTGCAACGAGCCATAACGAGTATAGCTACCACAAATTGTAACCTGGATGTGCACACGCTTCAAGTGGTCTGGATGGTGGGCAGTGGAGCACCTATAGAAGACTGTTACCTGGACAGTTCTGAATGCATTCTTTGGCCCAGGCAAGAGGTGAAGTTGTTGAAGTTGTTGATCGATGCCGGAGCCAAACCATCCGAGAAAATTGTCGAAGACGATGCCAATAAGGATGCTGTCTCTTCTAGTCAAGTAATTAATAATAATCTTTGGCAGTTTGCATTTTCAGGAATTGTTTATCCTTCGTAGATAACCTGGATCATTCGAAAAAAGAAAAACAAAATTGTTGAATTTCTTTGAAACGAGTTTTTATCTCTTATTGAAAAAATTTCAAACATTTCACTTAAACTTTGATATAAAAGTTGGATAACTGCATAGAATAATTTACGGCATAAATGCCTAGTAAACTAAAACTGTCAAACAAAGATTCGTCGCTGTAACGAATCTCTTGTTTCTAACAGAGTTGCAAGCAATGTTGCCGGAAGGGACTCTACGTGTCTAGTGTTTGACAAGTTCTACGTTGAGGATAGAATTGCTAAACGGGGACAGTTGACGCTGTTTTCTTTATTGTTAAAAATGATTCCCCTTTGGCGAATTTTCGCATGAGAACAGTGACATCATATTGGTGTAGTACAGAAACGTTATATAACGGATATAAGGGAAATGGTTTTCTTACAGTTTCTTCACGTTGCTACTTTGCTACACGTTGATGTCATTGGCAGCTATTTTATTTAGATATCTGGCAATTGAATGAAAAAATTATGGAACACCACATTGCTTTTTCTACTTTTCTATTATCTTACGTCACTATTGATTATTTTGTGACAACTCTGTTCATTATTCCATCATTCAGAGGATCGCTCTTATCATCTATAATAACAAAACTCGTATATTTATTTTAATTTTTGACTCTCTTTCTATTTCGTTCATTTCGTTCTTTTTTTATGTTCAATGAAATACAAAACAATTTCGAATTGAAGATTATTGAGATTAAATTTATATTTATTATACAGATACTTCATAAATGTCCTTTTTGGATCTCGATTTTCGTTGATTAGTTATCCAAATTTTATTTCAGAATTTTTTCAAATTTTTCCAAAATCTAGAATAATAAAAAAAAGACCTAGATTGTTTGTACTTGAAAAAAATATGAAATTATCTGTCGGAGAATTAAATTAAATGATTCTTCAAAGTGAATTTTTCTTCATCTTGTTCTTTTTTTTTTTCAAATGCAATTCCTTTGTAGAAATGGAATTTATATAACAGATAAAATGGTCTTTGTCGCAGGTCTCGCAAGATGTAAGCCCTATGGATGAATCTCCCAGCGAACCATTAACGGAACTACTCGGCGAAAGCGGGGACATCAATCAAGCTGATTCTTGCGGACGAACAGTACTGCACACGCTTGCTGCAGATGGTAATGCATCTCTGCTGGAGCTGGCTCTAGCGACGTGTCCACAGGTAAGAATCCCCATTTTTAAAGCGCAACATCATCATTTGTACCAACTATCATTGGAAACATTTTTAAAAGTATCGATCAACGTTCACCATGTGTGTTTTTATATGTAAATATATGTAAAAAAATAGTAAAATTTGAAAAAAATAAACTTTCGTCATTTTTAAAGCATAATATAAAGGATGTTCTATGATACAAAAGCAAATTTTGCATAAAAATTATAATATACATATAACAGTATGAATCAGTTTCTCATCATATTTGCATGGAATTCAATTTCAGATATAAATTCTTATATCTTTATATCCAATGAAAGGAATGAAGTAATGAAAAGAGGCTCACAATTCATAAAAGATTTAAATATATACAAGATATATTTTATAAAAATATAAAACGTATTAGAGAGATTAAAACAAACATAAAAATTAGTGTACAAAAATGTTAGTTGAAGATAATTTATTTAATAAATTGAGTTTTTATTCGATAAAGCAAGATGAAAATAGAATGAGATACCTTTACTTCTATTTCGATTCATCTAATGTAAATTTGAATTGTTTATGACTAAATAAATATTCTCAATTAATAAATTTCTATATATCAAATGTTTTCATTTGTTTTAATATTTGGAATCGATCTTTCAAAGTTCTTATATTTTCATAAATACGTATAAACATATATTTTTATAAATTAGGCTTAATGCAAAGGTGATTATAAAATATTAACCAAAACATTATCTCTTTTCCATTATCGTAAATATAATATCTGTCAAAAGTTTGCAACTGCAGCTGGAATACATTATTGAAAATGAATTTTTTACAAACAAGTATTTAATATACGAGCATAGTTTTATAAAATATAATACATAGCATGGTTTAGAAAATACAATTTTTAATAAAAAGAAATTAAATTAAATTTTTGATAAAAAGAATTTGTTTTTAAATATAATTTAAACAAAAATATAATTTATTTAAAAACTTTTGGCAACTATTCCATATAAAGTAGATATTCACATAAATTGAATCTCTTTATATCACACATATATATTTTAGAATTTTTAATTTCTTCAGGCAAAGTTGGAAGCTACTGATCGTCACGGTCAAACACCTTTGAATCTTGCTGCCAGGCATGGTTATGCGGATGTGGTACGAGTTCTGTTGGCTGCTGGGGCTTGTGCGGATCATGCAGACTGCGATGGATGGACAGCCCTCAGGGCTGCTGCCTGGGGTGGACATACTCAGGTAATCATTAAAAGATAAATAAATAATCATTAAATAATCGATAAAAGAGAACAATAAGAAAGAACAATTGCATTATCATCTATCCTCGACGATCATCATCTTTCTTTCATAGTTGAACAAGTAAAATCGTTAAAATGTTGTATTATATACATACATATGAATATTTAATGAGGGGATTGGAAATATTGAAATGTAATAAGAAGTGAAAGTGAAATATAAATGGTGAAATAAAAATATAGGTAGTCGAAATGCTGCTGGAACACGGGGCAATGGTGGATTGCGCCGATTGGGATCAACGAACCGCGCTCAGAGCAGCCGCTTGGGGTGGCCACGAGGACATCGTTAAAGCGCTTCTACAGCACGGCGCCGACGTGAACAGAACAGATGACGAGGGTAGAACCGCCTTAATTGCCGCTGCTTACATGGGTCACAGCGAGATCGTCGAACATCTTCTAGACTTCGGCGCGGAGATCGATCACGCCGATAACGATGGAAGGACTGCACTCAGCGTTGCTGCCCTCTGTGTCCCTTCCAATCATGGCTATGCAAAAGTTAGTTATGTTCCCCTCGTATTCGTGAATGTTTATCGCGCGAGAAAAACGCGTAATGGGACAAGCGAGGATGAGATATTTGCAAGATTTATTGCTGTATAAGAACAAATATTATTTTTTGTCACACATATTTCTAACGATGAGAGATTAAGTTTATTTAATATCATTCCATTATCGCGTCATACTATTTCTTATTACCACATATCATGATCTATATACATCTAAAACGCATAAGGAAATTGTAAGTGTACGACGGAGAGGTAATTAAGCCTAGAAAGATTTAGACTCAAGAAAGTCCAGAGAAAAAAGAAAATAGAAAGAAGTATATGTAATTCCACGTGAATGCTGAAATTAAAAAAAAATGACAATAAATAATTTTTTGGAAATTTTTAGAATGAAAAAAATAATTATTTTTTTTTTAATTTTTTTTTTTTCTGAGAAAGTTTCTTAAATGAACTCGAAGAGTCTTCCTCTTTCTAGGATTAATGAATTAATTGATTTTAGGCAAATTGTAACAGATATTGCAAATCCTTAATCATCTAAATATATACGTTGATTGAATACTATAAAAGATTAAAACAAAATATAAGTATAATATAAATATAAGAATAAGCAATCGAATCATTTGAGAAGCATGTAAAAGTTTTTAATTTCATTGAAATGAGAAAAATTATTTATTTGCTTAATCTTTTATTTAACTGTTTTTACTAAACGATATAATCTTCTGTCACAGGTAGTTACGATTCTATTGGAAAGAGGAGCTGCAGTCGATCATCAGGATAAGGATGGTATGACACCATTGTTAGTGGCTGCATTCGAAGGACACAGAGACGTTTGTGAATTATTGTTGGAATACGAGGCAGATGTAGATCATTGCGATGCTACGGGTCGCACACCTTTGTGGGCAGCTGCTAGTATGGGCCATGGATCAGTAGTTGCTCTTCTCTTATTTTGGGGATGTTACGTTGATAGCATTGATAACGAGGGCAGAACAGTTTTGAGCGTGGCTGCTGCTCAAGGTGGCACAGATGTAGTGAAACAATTATTAGATCGAGGTACAATATCTCGTCTTTTCTAAATTTTCTATCATTCTTTTTTTTCTTTTTTCTTTTTCCTTTTCCAATTAGTTTCATTATTAGATTATAAACAGAGTGATTATAAAATTTTTGAAATTTTAGGCTTAGACGAGCAACATAGAGACAATTCAGGTTGGACACCCTTACATTATGCAGCATTCGAAGGTCACATCGACGTTTGCGAAGCACTACTAGAAGCAGGAGCCAAAATTGATGAAACTGACAATGATGGAAAAGGTGCACTAATGTTGGCTGCACAAGAAGGACATGCTGCATTAGTTGAAAGACTGTTAGAACAGCATGGAGCGCCAATCGATCAACATGCTCATGATGGAAAAACTGCTCTCAGGTAACTTGGTAGTGATACTCTGATATCTTGTATAAATTTTATTTTCTAAGATATGTTCACGATAATCAAAAACTATTACAGACTTGCAGCTTTGGAAGGTCATTACGATACTGTCAGAGTGCTATTAGCTCATAATGCAGATGTGAATGCAAAAGATGCTGATGGAAGAAGCACTCTTTATATTCTTGCTCTAGAGAACAGATTGGCAATGGCACGATTTTTGTTGGAGCATGCCCGAGCAGATGTGGAAAGCAGGGATTCAGAAGTAAATGAAAAATTTTTATAATAATTTAAATCTTATAAAAATCTTACAAAAATTTACAATCTTCTTCAAAATAGATTTGTTCTATAAAAATATACCACTGAAAATTTTTGTCAAATTGAAGATTTTTATTTTTATAAATCGATTTTTTTATCGCTTTCAATATTTTTTTATTTCCTTTCGTATGCTTTTTGCGCGATATTAACACATATAATTAATTCAAAAATTTTTAACATTTTATTTCTATTGTTTATTTGAAAAAATTAAGTTGAAAAAATCTACAAATTTTTATGTAATTTAATATTGCTTTTAGAAATAAATTCAGAATTTTTCCAACATTCGATCATATCATATTTTAATTTATATCATAACAGAAATTTTATTTAAAATATGATTAAATATTCAACTATCATGCAAATAAAAGTAAGAATCAAAAGAAAAAAAAGTAAATTCATTTATATAAAATATGTAAAACATATAAAAATATATATATTTGAATAAAAATCCGCAATTACAAGCAATTGAATTTTGCGTTAAACAAAACGAGATGAAAATTGTACTTTTTTTTTATCTTGTTTCTATGCGAATTTAAATTACTTATAATTTAATAAATTTCAATTTTTTTATACTAACTTTTTTTTTTTGGCTTCTTCCAAAGATTTGAAAGAAGATACATTGTTCTTATTTCTTATAATAAACATATTGTATATGTATAATATTACATTATATGATAGAAATTTCTTTTGTGTTTATAGTAATCTATTTTTTTTTGTTTTTATATTTACAATTGTAAATTTAATATAAAATTACAGGGACGAACTCCTCTGCATGTAAGTGCTTGGCAGGGACATGTCGAAATGGTAGCTTTGTTATTAACAGAAGGTAGTGCCAGTGTAAATGCTTGTGACAATGAGAATAGAACTCCTTTACATTCTGCAGCCTGGCAAGGTCATGCAGCCATTGTCAGATTGCTCCTTGAACATGGAGCAACTCCTGATCATACTTGTAACCAAGGAGCAACAGCTTTAGGTAATAATAATAATCAAATTTCATTTGTAAAATAATAATGAAACTAGTATAAAATAATTATTAAAAATCAATATTAATTAGGTATCGCCGCACAAGAAGGTCATGAACATTGCGTACGAGCACTCTTAAATCACGGTGCTGATCCCAGCCACTCTGATCATTGTGGTCGAAATGCTATCAAAGTGGCTGCCAAAAGCGGCCATGACACGGTAGTAAGACTGCTCGAAGAATATTCGGCTAATCAACGAAGTTTAAGGCCTGGCATCAATGGAGGTTCATTAATTTATTAATAATTTTTACAATTTTTTGATCTGAAATTGCGTTATTAATTGTTTATTATAATACAGGCGGAAGTAGTAGTGCTACTTCAGTAACATCAAATTCGACAGCAGAAACAAAACCATCATCCGCAATTTTGAATCCCCTTTCAACTCAATATAGTCCGGCAGAATCGCCGGATTCGACAAAAAGAAGAAGCTGCGTGTCTCTGGGAAATAATTCCAGCAACAGCAAATCTAGTAGCAACCTGACCGGTAGCACGAAAAGTGATCAAGGGAAATTTAATCAGAATTCGATGGTGAATCAGGTAATAAAAGTAGGTAACAACATTGTTGCTTTTTTTATTAACTTTCTTGTGTAATTTAAGGAGTCAATTCAAATTTTCCGATACCACTTCCAATCGGTTCTCATCATCTCTTTTTAATTGCATGTTTTGTTCATTCCGTTTTTATGCACTCGTGTACAGATTCG